GTAACATAATAAGCATTTTAAATAGATACATTAACAGGATCAGCACACAAGTTATTCCAGGAAAGAAACATAGCTTAAACTCATGTAAATTTAGGCTGACAGCATGAGTAGCTACAAACCAAGCAGCGCTGGGCTGGTTTTTTGTGTTGCTGAACAGGTGATGCCCCCTAAGAGCAGCTTGTTCTCTGCCCATTATTAAAACCTCTCAATTACTGTGAAGAACAGCCCAGGGGCCAAACCCCTTCCTTGCCTTCAAAGCTCAGCATTATCCTCTGCAGGCCTGAGTGCAATCTCTATCTGCCACAACAAACCACCTTTATCCCAGGCAGGTAATTACAGGCTCAGGTCAAGGATTGATTTCATGGCCCTGCAGCTCTGGCTGCCTCCACTCAAGCAGGGCAGCCCTGACACCAGAGCTCCTGCAATGGGAGCCCAGCCCTGGCTCAGCCTGGCATTTATTGCCTGTGGCAGCAGGGCCAGCCTGGGAATTCACAATGGTGGTGACTTCATCTGCCAGCTGCATTCACACATCTTTACTACCTGAATAACTGATCTGCACTGCTCCCAGGCAGCACTTTGTGGTGTACAGCGTTTGGGAATAAATATTTGATTGTGCATACAACAGAAAGGAGCTCAGATGGTTTAAGGTGTGACAGCAGAAGTGTTTATTAAATTCTAAGTGAGAGCATTGCTGGACAGTAAGAATTTGTCCCTTGGTCTCTGCCTCACAGGTGTGGTGATGAACAATAAAAGGACAAATCCCTCCCCCACAAAGCCCCCATCAATTCTTCTGTTCATTAAACCCTCTGCAGGCAGAACTCTCTGTCCATGACCAGCCAGTCACACACAAAAGAGAGGGAAGTACTAAATTACAAGCTGATTTTAAGTGGGCATTGATTGAAGTAACCAGAAGAGAGCTTAGTACTGTCAGAGTTTCATACAACAGTAATAAACAATCTTCATTAAAAAATGATGTGTGCATCCCCCTGCAGCACAGCACTCACCAGGTTTCAGTTGAGAACATTAAGGTTCCCTCCACCCCACACACAATTAATGAGGAAAAGAATCCTCAGGATCTTTTTCTTCTACAAATTAATTTTATTCATTAAATAATGCCATTCACTGAAATCCTTCCCACTCAATTTCTGTATTTATTCTAGGCAAGAAATAAATAGATTTATTATTCTATTCTGTGATCTCCTCCCAGCAGGAAAGGAAGAGGTTGATGCAAAACAAGAGATTAGACAATTCCTCTGTCAATGTTCTCATCCTCTACTAGCAATGCAACCAAATCATTACTTGGCTGATGGTAAGTGTCCAAAACCTCTTTGTGTGAGGGAACAAACAAGGCTTTCCATAGACAGACACACAGATGCAGCCACTTCTCTTAAATGAGCAGGACTGAGTCACTGAGCACACCTGAGGACCTGAGCCCACACCTGGGGTGCAGCTGAAGGGAAACACTCAGTGCAGCTCTGTGGGCAAACTCACTGACCAGCAACTGCTGCAAAATCCTTTCTCTGGAGCTTTTCCAGCTCTGGAAGCTGAGAATTGACTGTACAGATATCCTAACCTGCCCATACCCCTGATTTCTGCATCATTCATTATTCAGAGAGCCCCACCAGGTTTGCTTTTTCAGACATGTAACACATATCATGTATGTCATTCCTCCACAGGTCAGAGAATGAAAATTCAGAGGTGCCTGGTTGGTGTGGGTGTGTACAGAGTGAGACCTTCATCTGCAGCATCACCTGCACACAGGAGGACTCTTTAAGGTTTATTTTTCATTTCTGGGCTCATAAATAGAGCCTGACTTGCTAAGGCTTAACCCACCTGTGTCAAAGCTAAGCCCAGAGCCTGAGCACACCTTTGGGGAGGAGGAACAGACACCTCTCCTTGCTGCACACAGTGAGCAGCTCCTACCTGTGCAGTGCTTCTGCTGCTGCATTATCACCAAAGGCTTCCTGCTTTACAAAGATTTAAACTCACTGCTGTCCCCCTTTAACATTTCCAACTGCCAATCTGGAACAGCATCTGGAATTACAGTGCATTTAATCCTTGAGGGTATATTCTCTCTCTGATGCATATGACTCAAATATGTGCATTGAGGGACAAGTGTCCAGTAGCTTTAGGTGACTGAATTTTTGCAAACTTTTCTTGAAAAAAATAAAGCAGATAAGAGTGTCTTAGGAGAATTTTGAGTTGAGAGAATCATATTGTAATATGCATTTTTAAAACACATCCAAATAACCTTTACAGATTCAGCCACCCACCTTGAGAATGCCACTGTAAATTTTCATTATTGATAACAACATTATTTGTTGAATTTTGCACTTTTTAAATGAAGACTTTTCCAAGTGATCTTATGAAACTGTCCTTAGCACACCACAGTTTTACAGACACACGAGGAAAAAGCCATGCTTAAAAAAAAAAAAAAAAAGGGCACACAAAATGCTTAATAAATTCAACAACAGCATTGCCACCAATGGGGGAGAAGGAAGGAACCTATTGGGAATGGCAGAAGGATAATGGAGATGATAAACATGTACTTGAAGTCTTTTGATAGGAAGGAGAAGTGATGAGTCAGATAAGCAGAGGCGCCACTCGGGTTGCATCTCCAAGCAACAGGCAATCAAAGCTCCAGATAAGCATCTTCATAAAGTGCAACAGGCTCCAGTGCAGGGGCAGAGCTGAACAATCACTTCCTGGTTCAGCTCAGGCAGGAAAAATTTATGACCTACTTAAAAATCCTTCAAAGCTAAAAATGGCTTTTCCATAAAGAACATCAGCTGTGTAGGGCACGCCGTGGGAAGAGCAGGAAATGAGAATACTCAAAGTGGTGGACTGGAGCACAAAAACCCAGTGCTGAACATGAGTGGTGTTAAAGCCAAACCCTTCCCATCCACAGCTGAGATTAATGGAGTTTTGTGCACATCTCAGAGGTGGGAGGAGAAGAAAATAAGCATAAAATACTCTTCTTTCCTTTGCTGGGCCCTGGGACAAGAACAGTTTGTAATCTCAAAAAGTGTATATATTTTCCTTGTGTCTCCTTTCCTCTGCAACAATTCACACCCCTAAACCATCACACTATTTAGAATCTGAGCCCCTAAGTTCTGCATGGGAAAGAGTGAGGATCAGGCAACACAAAACCTGCAAAGAGATGCTAAAATCCCTGAATCAAAAATCAATTCCAACCCAAACTTTCTGGGTGAACTAAATAAAATACTGCCATCAGCATGTCCCTGACAAAACCCATGTATTGTTTACAAGAAACTTATGAAGTGTTACAACCAAACTGAGTCACTGCTGTACAGTAAATATATTTTTAGTGTCCTAACAATGTATACAATGGATTTTGGCAATTTTAATACAGACACACATGTTAAAGGCATTATAAATGAGGCTTCATCACATTCACATGAGTCAGTTCATATTAAAGCCCCATCCACACCTCAGGAAAAGCTGTTCAGCATGGAAGAGGCACAGTCCTGTGTTTCCATTGTTTCTGTTGCAGATGGAGTAACACAGCTTTAGGAAGTGCTACAGTCACAGAATGCTCACATTTCAGAATTACTGCACATCCCTGGCACAGGTGAAGGCACTGCTCCTACACAGGAGGGAAAAATCCCCACCCTGATAATGCTGAGATCTCTCTCTGTATCAGCTGATAGTGAGGCACAGCTCTCCTTTAATCACTCAGAATCTCAAGTGTCACATACACACCCTGAAGCACTCCTGTGATTACAACTTGGAACCTTTTAGGAGCAATAACTATAGATGAACTAGTCAAAAAAAAACCATAACTGATGCATTAATATTTTCTTCTGTATCAAACAATTATTTTCAAAATTACTTTGCCATGTAGTAAAACAAACAAAATTCCCCTTCAATAACCAACAGCAGATGTTTGTCTAAGCCCAACAGGAATTAATTTAACAACTTTTAAATATTTGAAATGGAATTTATAAGGACAATTCTCAATATCCAAAGTAAATGTGGTTACTATTGAACTCTGTTATAAACACATATATGAAATATCCTGTAATACCCAAATAAATTCATTTGGCAAACAATGAAGTATCTTGGACTCAGCATTTACATCAAACAGCAAACAGAGTCTGAAACAGGAGCTTTTATTTTAACTCTCTTTAAACCAACCTTCAGAAACCCCTTTCTGTATGTGTTACAGTCTCTTTTTACAGTTTAACCTCAATCCAATCAGGAGTCTCCAGGGATTTTCAAATCACTGAAGATTAAAATCCTCTCCGACTTGACTGTTTGACTAATGCTGTGTGTTTAATAATTCTACTTGTGAGAGATTTTATTTGACAAAATCCTGCTGTGTGGACCCTCAGACGCTGTACAGCTGCACTGGAACATAAAGCTCTGCTGCTGCCCTTGTTTCTTTAGACAGGCTATTCCCCAGCACTGAGGGGAAAAGAGAACTTTATAGTACATCTATTACTCTGTTGATATTAACACAACCACTGTAGTATTAAATCTACACACTCTTTTCAGAGCAGAGCAGTGAAAATGTGCCTATTACACAAACATTAGATAAACTCTCCTGTTGTCCCGAGTGTTCACAGAAATCAATTACATTTATGATTACATTTCAATGAAAGCTATTTTATAAACGAGATGGAACTGTAATATTCTATGCTTTAGGCATTCATTAATAAAAGCATTTCAGTGTTAGTATTTGTAAATGTTCTGCTTTTTAGTTTAGGCAATTTTTAGCATTCTATAGCTCATGTTAAACTTTACATAAATAGTGTGTCCAGATCTTACCACAATGCTGTGATTTCACATTTGAGTGGTAAGGGAGGGGGGAAATAAAAATCATCATTACGGCAGGATCGAGTATTTGTACGAGACAGCACTTACCCTGTGGTGCAGAAAACCAGGACAACCTCGATGGCAACTATTAGTACACAGGTTACCAGCCAAAACAAAAGAGCAGGCTGCTGAATGTGGAACAGAAATGAGGGTGCTCCTACCTGAAGTAGCATCGATGACCGTGGAGACGCCGCGCCGGTCGGCCGCGGGCCGCGGTGACCCCGGCATGCTGACGGGCTCCGAGCGCACCGGCTGGATCCTGGCAACCACACAAGCACACAGTGAGCCAGGCTGCAGAACACCCTGAAGGCCATCAAGTCCAAACCATGACCTGGCAGCTCCTCATCAGCTAAAGCATGGCACTGAGTGCCACGTCCAGTCCTTTTCTGAACAGGTCCAGGATGGTGACTGCACCCGTCCACCACCTCATCGGGTGGACCCAATCTCACCCAAACGAGAATCACCTGGGACAAGCAGCAATTTAATTGTGAAATTGCTTAAAAGCTGTTGGAAAGTTCTGATTTCCCTTGCTTGGTGCACCTGAGATTGGGAAAATCCACCTAGAGACTCAAAGTGGGTATTCCCAACTAATGGCTCAGATGGGAGGTCTCAGGAAGCCTCAAAGGAAAAAGATCACCCTACCCAAACTTGGTTAAAAAGCCTCCATTGCCCTCCTCAACAGCAGGATTTTAAAGACCCATTTGCAATTGTTGATTCCTTTTGTAACACAGATCTGTATTACTTCTTTTTATTTCTGCTTTCTTTCTGCATGTGTATACCTATATATATATATTTTTTTTTTTTAAATGACAGCAACATCCTTGCTCATGGCAGTAATTAGACACAAGGAAAAATCACGCATTTCAAACCCATGGATTTCCAGTCCAAGGACAATCTGCCCACTTTTCATGGGACAAGTCATATTATCCATCTCTGTTGCTTTACTCCTAAGAGTTTCAGACACAGTCCCAAACAATCCAAGTCCCTACCACAGAACTTTGGACTTCAAATCACATGCAGAGTCAGGAGCATGGAAACTTGTTAAATCTGGAGTTACTGGGCAGGACACAAACACTTGGAGCATAAATCTCTTCTACAAATCACCAGTAAATGTAAACCCACATTACCTCTGCTCTCCTTCCTTCCCTTCCCTAAGCCCACCCCCTACCCCCAATTCCAAATCAGCTAATGTCCAAAACCAGATGAATTAAATACATGAAAAAGAATTACAAGGAAGGAAAAAAAAGAGTGGGGAAAAAACAAAAACAGGGAGGAGGAAAACATTCCAGAAGTTCACTTACTGTTCCAACACACTGACCGCTGTCTAAATTCATGGCACAAAGCTCCCACTCACGTCTGAGAAAATGAATTTATTAAGCAATACAGAAACTGTGAAAGGCAAGAGGACACTGAGCAAGGCCATCAGACTTTGTGCTGTGCAGACTTTGCCTGCCATGTGCCCAAGAAGGGACAGCAAAAGGAATCTGAGCTGCTTGGCCTGGACTGATTTTTCTCGCTGGTGCATCACATGCTCTTCCAAGACTTTCCTCTGGACAAGCCTGATAAAAAATGTGACACATCCCACATACAGCAAATGTCAGACAGCTGGGAAATAGGTTTGATTTTTACCTGAGGCTGTTGAGATCCAGATCATCTGTGTCAAAGTCCAGCAGAGGCTGCGGGGTGTCGCTGGGCCCGTGCGACTGCAGCACGGAGGAGCTGGAGGAGATGACGGTGGTTTGGCCGGAGGGGTGGATGGTTTTGAACTGGAACTGAGGGCCCATCCACAGGCGTCGATGAGGCCCAGTGTGAGTCACAATTTCCACCTGTGGGAAGGGATATGGGCAGTGATTAACACAGAGCTGCAACCCCAGATAATGAGGGGTTCCTTTGGTAGGCTGGACTCCTGGAATCCTGCTGTTCTCAAGTGAGAAGGGTGTTCTGAGCCAGGGTGTTTGGAGGAATGTTTAACAGAGCAAAATTTGGGATGTCTTTGCTGGAGAATGGATGCTTCAGCCAAAGCCAAGAGCTTTTTGCAGAGACTTGAAAGCTCGTGAACCACCAGCCTCAGGACACTGAACTCCAGTTCTTAAATTGTTCTAAAGATCAAAGCTTCATCCTGGCCACCACTTCACCTGATCCTGTTCTTTCCTCCCCTTGCCATGATAAAATACACCCTAAAACTCGAATGCTATGACCAAAAGGGAACACATTTCTGCCTGAATCTGCATGGAGCAGAGAAAGGAACCAAAAGCCCACATCCCCCAGACATCCCCATCCTGAGCAGGGCAAGGGAAGAGCTTCCAGAGAGCTCCTTCCAGCTTTGTTACAGCTGCTTGGTGAAAAGTCCACAGCTTCAACTGCTTCCCATGGATACAGTGAGAGCTGGATTGCAAACCACAGCTCCTAATTCCTGTTGGCACATGTGAGGAGAGGCTGGCACAGAGCATCTTGTAGGAAGCACAAGATCCATAACCCAGAGCCATGGGAAGAGTGCTGGGATGAGCCCAGGTCATACTGAGCACAGGAATGGATGTGCCACAGACAGGGTCCACACAAACACATCCATTTAACCAAAATTCCGACAATTCAGCAGAAGTAGGCTGCTTGTGATCAGGAAAACTGTAAATAAAAGGGTAAACAAAGCATACAACTTCATAATCAAGAGAATAGAATCATTAAGGCTGGAAAGGTCATGCAATACAAGACTAAAAATCAAAAAGAACTTTTAAAGATCAGAAAAAGGAAAGATAAAATGAAATTATTAAGCTCTGGTGAACTCATACTTTTAGAACAGAAAATAGACTATAAAGTACCTATCAGTTTCTGCTAAAACAACAATCAGCCTCAAAGCAGAAATGCAAATCACTGAGGGAATTCATGAAAACAGATTTTTGTATAGGTACACAGATGTATACCAGTAGTGATTCTCCATCTTTAAGGAGCAATTTGAAACCCTGGACGATGTCAGTTCTCTGCTAATGTCAGACAACAACCACCAGCTCTATTTCCATCTTTGCATTTAGCTCAGCCTAACTCAGCTTGGCTGCAGCCCTTTCTGAGGCAAGTAGCTTTTATGTAGCAGCGTAAATTAGGCCACAGATAAAGTAATCTGTGTATTTTAAGCTTGAAACCATCAGTGTCACAGAGCCGAGAGGTAAACAGATGCCTTTGCAATTTTACTGAGGCTATGGCCAGATGTTCCTATTCACTCTCCTGTTGTGTGCAGGACAAACATATTGTATCTACTTCCCACTGACAGCACACATTACCCACTGTTCTAATTGAAAAGTTGAAGTGAAGGGCGGTGTTTTTTCACTGCTTGCTGTTGCTGTTGATAACAACACTTTAATTTTGAAAAACATCCTTGCACTTTAGGCTTAATCTGAAGTGGCTTGCTCGGGGAGCAAGCGTCGCCGTGCTCCAAGGGCTCTCATCACTCCTGCTCTCAGCAGGAATTAAACATTTCAGGAGCATTCTCAGAATTATCCCTCTTCTGTGACATCACTTGGGATTTTTATTTCCCTTTATAAATTTATTTACTCTTCTAGAAAGATGGATGTGGTGAAGTTCAAGCAGTCGAAGTTCTGTTGACATTTTATATCTTCCAAGAAATAGTAATAAACAAACAGCCATAATGTAGGTTTACCATAATCTCTTTTTCCCTGAGGTTTCACCAGAGCAGTAAAATATGGAAATACCTCCAAACATTCCTGGAGAGGTGTAAAACTACAGGTGAAATCTGCTCCCAATGAGCTCAGAGATAAAATTCCTGTAGACTGCCCTGACTGAGAAGTTTCATCATCTTTGTGCTCTGAGAAATCAGACACAGCACAAACAAATGAGACACCTCAATGTGCAGCCACATCTGAAACCTCAGACAGGTAAATGAACTCCCATGACTGGATTCCCCAGTGAATGCTCCTCCTGGGCAGGTCCATGTGGAAACCTAACCTCTCATTTCAGAAAAAGCTGTGTATGATTTATTCACCAGTGGGAGAAGCAAATCCCATCCATAAATATTTCATATTTATGCCATACACCCCAGCAACACATTTAATGCATCACTCCCACAACAACATTGTTCTTAAACCAGAGGAAACCCACCTAATTTGTCAGGGTGAATTCCATGGATCAGGTACCTTGTAATTGCTTTGGCAAATCAGAGCATTTGTAAATTTAATTTATTTATTTAACTCTAACCTTTCATTTCTAACAGGAACTAATTCTCAGTGTATTATTCATGACCTACATTCTTACACTGAGGTTCTGTTTTGAGCCAAATGGTCAAGTATTTACTGAGTTCTTGTAGAGAAGCTTCATTGACTGAGACAAAGCAAGATTGGATAACATGACAAAGATTAGACCTCATATAAAAATCCTCCACCAAGCATGATAGTTTTAAAGGAATACAGTATTTATATCTGGTCAGAAGTCACAGGAATTCTCAATAGGAAATGATAACCAGGGTAGGAAGGAAATAAATCACCCACTGTCCCCTTTTTATGGTCAAAGGAAGGGCACCACCCAAAAGGCACCATCATTCTGCCAACTTCCTTCATCCCTGCCCAAAAAGCACCAGGCCAGGAGAAAAAGGGAGGCAGGTCACTTGGCTGTTGCCACCTGAAACTTCCCACTTCATGCTGGGCTTCCCAGGGATGTGACAGTGTCAGGAATGCTGGGGCTTTGTCTGGCTGGGGACCATCAGATCCATCATGCCCACACTTGGCAGCAGAGTCAGCTTCACACACAGCAACACCCTGGCTGTTGGAAGTTTACTTCCCACTTGGAGGAAAGTTGTGAATTTTGCTTCCAGTGGCTCCCACTGGTGTTTTGCTGGCCTGGAAGCCCCCAGAGCATACCTGTGACAGCCACTCCTCATCCTCCTGCCCGCTGTGGTCGGAGGCCAGGCTGTCGTAGGACTCGTGCCGGGTGATGGGCCCAGGGCTCCCAGGTGGCACCACTGAAAAAAACCCACAAAACACAAAATCAGACTTATTGTTAAATGCTTTATTTAAAAAAAAAGCTTTTAAAATAAGTTAATGGCACAGCAACGTGTGTTTTCCTAAATCTGTGACAACAAATTTTCTAGGAGTGCAGAAAGAGCTCTAATATTGACATTAAAGGGATGAAAAGATTCCTGGTCTTTGACTTGGATGTATCCATACAGCCACCAAGATAACTCATTGGCTCTTCTTCTTTTAACCTGAGGTTCTTAAAATACCAAAGTATTTTTATATTCCCACATTTTATAATCAAGGTTTTAAAAAATTTAAAAAACTATATTATTGCAGGGTTGACCTTTATGTGTCAAGCTTCCAACCACTACAAATTTTTATAGCCACGTAGTAAACCCCCAATAATTGGAGTTTTAATGGCAAAGCAGACACAATGGTAGCCATAAATACAGAATGGCGCCTCTGTAATGTAAACAGCTTTGCATAAATCCATACACTATATGGAATAAAGGGATTTCCATCCTGGTTTGTGTGTGTCAGTATCTGAAGCTACAGAGCCATTTCTCACACCTCTGGATCACAGAGTGTCCATACTGTCAAACCTGCAACGTCCCAAATTCAGCTCAGGGCCCAACTTACTCCAGACCTATTCCAAGTGCCAGAAAATTTAGAACATGTTCTTAAAAAAGAAGCTCAGACTGGATATTAGGAAAAATTGGAAGCAATGGAAGAGGCTGCCCAGGGAAGTGGTGGAGTGCCCATCCCTGCAAGGGTTCAGACAACATGCAGAGATGGCACCTCATGGTATGGTTTAGTGGGCATGGGTTGGACTCGATGTTTTTGGAAGTCTTTTCCATCCTTAATGGTTCTGTGCTTCTATGATAAAGCACCAACTTTTATATTAGGAAGAAATTCCTCGCTGTGAGGGTGGGGAGCCCCTGGCACAGGGTGCCCAGAGCAGCTGTGGCTGCCCCTGGATCCCTGGAAGTGCCCAAGGCTGGATGGGTTTGGAGCAGCCTGGGACAGTGGGAGGTGTCCCTGCCATGGCAGGGGTGGAATAAAAGATCTTTAATGTCTCTTCCAACCCAAACCATCCCGAGATGCTGTGATCTGCCATTTTCCCTGCAAGCCCCAGTCTGTGCCTGTGCACACCCATGCTGACAGCCCCAGGTGTTATCTCAGCTTTGTCTTCACCAGTTTTCAGATAATACAGCAACCACTTCCATCTGCTTCCTTACATCCACGAGAGATTGAATTCCATGGCTGAGGGATGTGTCTGTCTAGTCCAAACTCCTGTCAGAGAACTCACACTCCTTCCTGAGGATTCACAGTACAATCTGAATATGAAATCACAGCACCCACTTCTCTTCCTCAAAGTTTGTACTTAAAACCAAAGAAACAAACCCATTATTTTGACCCATTTTTCTGTTGCCCTCATGCTCCCCACACCTCCTGGCTCCCCACTCTGAATCCTCCTGCCTGTTCCAGAGAGCACAGCTGATCAACTGCAGGCTTTCCTGTTACTCAACTCCCTAACAAACTTCATGGCTCCAGCAGATGGTTTTGCTTTCAAACCAACAGGAACTTTATGGACTGATCTGAATTTTTTTTGTTCTTTCTATCCCAAGGGCAACTACCAGAGCTGTCAAGATTAGGGAAGCTGCAAAACCACAGCCCAGGGAGCAGCATCCCCCCTGCTTGGTCGCTGTATTTCTCCCTTGGGGAATACTTTTACATTTTACTGGAGATTCAAGATGGCTTTACAGTGAGAAAGAAATTTGAAAAAAAAAACAACTGAAACAACTGAAAAGCTGAACAAATGATTCGTTTTGGTGCTGCACTGGAAGCCTTTCCCTGAGGAGCCACAGGTCTTGTGTTTCCACGCAGCTTCCGAGAGCAGCATTAACTCTTTCCACCCAGGAGTGATGAAATGCTGAATTCCATGGAAAAGCTCTGCCTGAGAGTTCAGCAGCAGGGCAGCAGTGATAAAGCCTCAGCTGAGGTCAGCCCTCAGTCATTTATTTGGCTGTTTAATAAAGCAGCAGTTCTGTGCCACACCTATCACAAAAGCAGTTTGGAGGGGCTGGTTGGGATGGGGGATCCCAGCTCACCACGGGCCCCACTCCCACCATTCCCAGTGGGAATGTGCAGTGTGCTGGGAGAAGTGACTTTATCAGACAGTGATCCTGGCTGGAGATCTGCCATCCCTGTGCTGCTTGTTACACATGTACATATGGGCACATTTTTCCAAGTTGAAAATGCCCTTGAAGCTGTAGGAACAAACACAGTGTAAAAATGCAAAGCACCTTTTCCTCTTTTCCCCCTTTTTCTCTTTTCCCCCTTTTCTGGGCACACACCTCTCACATCCATATCAAGCTCCAAGATTAGATTAATTTAACCCTGGAAGGACATTTCCAGGAATTTGAACTCAGGATTAATCTTTTATCTTCCAGCTTAACTCCTTGAAAATCTGAATTCACACTGGAAATTACAACAGACTCTCACCCATCAGTGAGGTTATTCTGATGCTGCAGCACAGAGTATTTTAATTTATGGAGAATTTCCCAACCATGCAGGATAACAAATAATAAAATTCCAATTCTTGCAAAGCTTTGTAGCAAATGTTTTTACTGGTCCTCCTGTAATTTCTCTTTCCTTGGGAAAAGTCACAAATGGAGCAGACACAGAGCAGGAGCAAGAAAGCCTTGGCTGCACAGAGATATTTTACTGCAACTGCAGGTGCCTTGTACCTTCCTAAAACAATCAATTCAATGCCTTATGTCTGAGCTATGCTAAATTTTAACTTTTTCTGCTCTCACACCAACATCTGGAACAAACACATCAAATATCAGACTCCAAATGAGTCTGTTTAACCTAGAAATACACAAAGTGAAAAAGTACAAAAAATAAGTATTTACTAAAAATCTAACAGAACTTCTGTCTGTGCAGTATGACAGGATATGAGTTCCTATAGTCTGCTTATTAAATCAATCAAAATTCAAGGACATAAGGACACTTCTGAAAAACTGGACTGATACCTATAGCAAAAATCAGATTTTTGCCACCAGTATTTGGCAAGGGGCAAAAAGGATCTTTGAGCTGCTCAGAAGTAACAATGGCACCTTTACTCTCTGTCCTCCTTCAAGCCTCCCTTCTCTGCACTGACAGGATTGATGTTACCATTATATTGAAGGAAGATTGTATCTGGAAAAACCACACTGCAAATGAAGTTATTTGTGTGATAATTGCTAGTGCCAGGAAAACTGCACAGAAGGGACTGTGGAGACACAAGTGTCAACACAAGGCAAAGCAAAGGCTGAAACACAGCAGAGCTGATATTCCCCTGGAATTCCAGACCTGATTCACACAGTTCCATGGATAAGTATGTAAAAAACCCCTCATTGTTCAGAAACTTCTCCTTGATATTTACTGACAAGTAGAGAAAACAAACAATTTGTATTAATCTCAAATAATTTGCACAGACATTCCTGCCACGTGAGCAAGAGCTAGATAAATACACATTGGAGGAATATTGGAATTAACACACAGTGGGTTTGTTCATGGATGGGCTAATTATACAATAAATACCTAAAGCTAAGACAAATCTTCCTTCAAGGATTATAAATTATCATCTTTCAGCAGCATAAAAGTGTTGGAACAAAGAACCACTACAGTTCAATTGTAGTGTGTGCACTTATGGCTTTAATTTGGGAACAATAAATCATTAGTTTTACTTAGTTTTGTGTACTTCTTGAACCAAAAGGTTTTAATTTTCTCATTTATAGAAATAAGCTTTGCACAATTCAATTTAATTGAGAGTTATATATGAAATTCCCAATGTGCTCTTCTCTAAGGGCTGCATGTTTGTCCAAATTAAGAGCAAACAAAGGCATCTGAGCACCACAAAGCCTGTTTGTTTGGTGCTGCCTGCCGTGCACATGCCTGCAGACACCCAGAGAGCTTGCCTTTTCCATCTCCATAATTATAATTTAATGTAATTAACGTTAATAATGTCAAATGAGTTTCTAAAATGCAGTAGGAACAGGACAATGTACTCTTAAATAACCCCTGCAATCTCCAGTGATGTCTGTGGTGAACAGGTACACAGGATAAAAATGACATATCCCGTGTTTCCATAAAAACCCCACCTTAACACCTGATTTTGATGTTTTTTTCTCTGGTTCCTCAGCTACATCTAGGTGGTGCAGAGACCTGAGGTAATCACATGATTGCAAACAAACTTCAGGAGTCCTTGTGCTGGAAAATTCAGCTCCACAATTTGAATTATTTCCTTCATGCCTTTGTTCCACAGCACCACCAGCAGAATGTGATGGTTCTGGTTCAGGTCTCCACGGAGCCACTCCAAATTCACCACATTCACCATTCTTCCCTGTTATTGGTGTGATCTCAGCTCTGTCAGGGGCTGGTTTTGGTGTCCCACACTTGTGTAGCTCACATCCAGCACGTGCTTTGTGGGTTTGTGTCAGAGCTGGTGCTCTGTGCCTCTGGCTCTACCTCTGCCCAAGTGTGAGAACAAAGCAAAGGCCAGGATTTCATTTTGGCCAGAACACTCCCAGCCACGTTAACAATAAACTGTTTGTAGGCTGGAGATATGCTCCATGTAATTTTTCTTGTGGCTGCACGTTCCTGAACAAAGTTCTGGTTTTAATGCAGTTTTCAGCTTGTAAACTCCCACAGGAGCATGGCACGCAAATTAAAATATCCTCTTTTACCCAAAACTACTCCCTGCTCATTTTTTTCCTGTTAGGACTTTCTGAGATTCTTATATGCATAAGTACAGTAAAGTTAAGCTAAAAAAGGGCTATAAAGCAGGAGTTTAGCCAGACTGACAGTTACTCCACACCACCAGTTGATTAGAGCTGGATTCATTCATTATTTGTGTACTGTCCACAGTTTATTTGGTGCTTTATGGACCATCTACTCTCTCTATCAGCACTTTAATAAAGACATAGGTAGGTCTGTAATTAGGAGATTAATTCTTAGA